AGCCTCATGGCCTTAATCATGATGGGTTTTTTCTTCGAGCGCATGCCCACCCTCAAAGGGGTGGTCGTTACATACGACCATCCAGCCTCATGGCCTTAATCATGATGGGGCGCATGCCCACCCTCAAAGGGGTGGTCGTTACATACGACCATCCAGCCTCATGGCCTTAATCATGATGGGTTTTTTCTTCGAGCGCATGCCCACCCATAAAGGGGTAGTCGTTACATACGACCATCCAGCCTCATGGCCTTAATCATGATGGATTTTTTCTTCGAGCGCATGCCCACCCTCAAAGGGTGGTCGTTACATACGACCATCCAGCCTCATGGCCTTAATCATGATGGGTTTTTTCTTCGAGCGCATGCCCACCCTCAAAGGGGTGGTCGTTACGTACGACCATCCAGCCTCATGGCCTTAATCATGATGGGTTTTTTCTTCGAGCGCATGCCCACCCTCAAAGGGGTGGTCGTTACATACGACCATCCAGCCTCATGGCCTTAATCATGATGGGTTTTTTCTTCGAGCGCATGCCCACCCTCAAAGGGGTGGTCGTTACATACGATAATCCAGCCTCATGGCCTTAATCATGATGGATTTTGTACATATGACCTGTCATCGGGGTTAATCCATGAATTCCAGCTATATAAAATAATCCAATGGGCAATAAATTTTAGAAATTCCAGTACGCCACTTCATTGATTATCAAGTAAGGGAGTTCATTACATTGGTTTCAGCGAGCTTCTCAATAAGTAAAATGAAAAAAAAAATTAAGCATAGTATTTCTTCAAGTTAGACACATTCCATGACCTGGCTAGCGATCTTCCTTCCGCATCCTTTAAGGAGTATGCTCCTCCAGCATGGACTTTTTCGACCAGGTATGGTCCTTCCCAGTTCGGCTCTAATTTTCCGACGTGCTTCAACACATCGACTCTTTTCCACACCAAGTCACCCACTTGGAATCTTCGTACTTTCACCTTCTTATCATGTGCTGCTCGCATCCTCTGCTTGTATGCCTCGACTCTGATTGAGGCTTTTTCTCGAAGCTCTTCGATTGTGTCGAGCGCTGCCATCATCAAATGTTCATTCTGTTCTCGATCATATGTGCTCGATATTTGAGACTCTACTTCGACTTCTACCGGCAACAAAGCTTCCATTCCATAAACCATGCTTAACGGTGTTTCTATAGTGGTCGATCGGGGTGTCATTCTGTATGCCCAGAGCACCGAAGTGAGCTCATCCACCCACGCTCCTGACGCCTTCTCCAGTCTTGCTTTGAGACCGTTAAGTATGATCCTGTTGGTCACCTCAACCTGCCCGTTGGCTTGTGGATGCGCGACTGAAGCAAAATGTTGCTCGATTTTTATGTCCTCGCACCATGCCCGAATCTGCTTGCCATTAAACTGGGTCCCGTTATCCGACACTAATACCTTAGGAACCCCGAACCTGCAGCATATGTTGTTATAGAGGAAATGTATCACTTTCTCCTCTGTGATCTTTGCTAAAGGTTCGGCCTCCACCCATTTCGTAAAGTAATCTACCGCAACGATCAGAAATTTCCTTTGTTCGGTTCCCTTAGGCATGGTCCCAACCAGGTCGATACCCCATTGGGCGAATGGAATGGGGGCACTCATCGTCGTCATTGCCTCAGCCGGTTAATGAATGAGCGGGCCATGCTTATGGCATTGCAAACACCTCTGCACCATCGCCTTTGTATCTTCCCTCATTGTCGGCCAGAAATATCCGGCCCTCAGAACCTTCGCCACTAGAGAGCCTGCCTTGCTGTGGTCGCTACAGCATCCTTCGTGGATTTCCTTCAACACATATCGCCCCTCCTCTTTGGTCACACATCGCAAGTGCGGGCCAGCGTGTGATCTTTTGTATAAAATCCCTCCATGCTCAAAAAATCTCCTCATTACTTTGATGGCTCCTTCCTTTAGTTCTTTAATTATCGGTGCCCTCCAATCCTCAACTTCTTCTATCTCGGTCACCTCCTTCTCGACCACACTCCTTTACATATGTAGCAGGGTCACACTTCTGCTCTTACAGTCGACCAGATTCTGCGCCACTTTAGCTAATAGGTCCGCTCGACCATTTTTCCCCCGAGGTATCTGGATCAACTCAAATGAATGAAACTCCTCCTGTAGTTTCTTCATCTCCCCCACATATTTCACCATCCTTTCCTTTCTGATCTCAAAACCTTCTTGAAATTGGCCCACCACTAATTGTGAATCTGAATGTATCTGCACTTTTCGAGCTCCACCGGCTAGGGCCAACTTGAGTCCCTTGATGACTGTCTCGTACTCCGCCTCATTATTTGATACCTGGTACGCCACCCTAACTGCAAACTCAAGGCTGTCACCCTTTGGCGATATAAGCACAATGCCAAGGCCACCTCCCGCCCTCGATACCGATCCGTCCACGTACACCTGCCAAACTCCTTCAGATTCTTCGTCTTCCTTCGTCCCTTATTGTATAAAATCGGCCAGAGCCTGAGCCTTAATTGCCCTCCTCGACTCATAGGTAATCGTGTACTCGCTCAGCTCGACAGCCCATTTGACTAATCGACCAGAGACGGATGGTCGACCCAACGTTTCTCCTAGTGGCATGTTCGTTCGAACTTTCACCCTATGTCCCAAGAAATATGGCCTCAGTTTTCTGACGGTAACAACCACTGCCAGAGCCCCCTTTTCGATCTCAAAATATCTCCTCTCCGCCCCTTGCATCACCTTACTTACGTAATAAATGGGGAATTGGGCTGTCCCTTCCTCCCTCAATAATACTGAACTCACCGCCATCTCACCAATGGAAACATACAACACCAAGTCCTCCCCTTGCACCGATTTCGCCAACAGTGACAGGTCGATTAGCACCTTTCGTAACTCTTCAAACGCTTTCTGGGCTTCTTCTGTCCATTGGAACTTCGAGCTTTTCCTTAGTGTTTTGAACAAGGGCCCACTCTTCCCAGCCACCTAAGAGATAAAACGGCTTAAGCCCGCTATTCGACCAGTTAAGATCTGTACTTCCTTCACCTTCGTGGGGGGCTGCATCTCGACCACCGCTTTTACTTTCTCCGGGTTAACCTCGATCCCCCTCTTTGTAACCATGTAGCCCAAAAAAATCCCAGATTTGACCCCAAATGAGCATTGAGCCGGATTCAGCTTCATTCTATATTTCTGAAGGGTCATGAATGTTTCTTTCAGGTCGTTCACATGATCGATCTCCTCTTTGCTCTTCACCAACATATCATCCACATACACCTCCATGTTCCTCCCCAGCTGCTCCTTAAAGATTTTATCCACCAATCTCTGATACGTTGCTCCTGCATTTGTAACAACAAATGACATTACCACATAGCAAAAGGTCCCTCAGCTCGTCACGAAACTGACCCTTTTCCAATCTTCCCGCGCCAGCAGGATTTGATGATAACCCTGCGACGCATCCATCAAGCTGAGTAACTCACATCCAGCCGTGGAATCGACCAGCTGGTCGATCCTGGGCAATGGGAACAAGTCCTTTGGGCATGCCTTATTCAAATCCCGAAAGTCTATGCACATTCGCCACTTTCCCTCTGCCTTTGAGACCATCACCGTGTTCGACAGCCACTCCGGGAATTGGATCTCCTTTATGTGGCCTGCCATCAAGAGCTTTTCTACTTCCAGCTCGATCACTTTATCCATTTCTGCCCCGTGATGCCTCCTCTTTTGTTTTACCAGCCTCACAGTGAGGTCGATATTTAACCGGTGCTCGATAACTTCAGCCTTGATACCAGTCAACTCCTCCGTCGAGTATGCAAACACATCCGCGAATTCCCTTATCACACTAATCAGCCTCGATCTTACTGGTTCCCCCAATTCCTTCCCGATTCGAAACCTTTTCTCTTCACACCTCTCGATCATCTGGATCTCCTCCACTTCGCCTCCTAGCTGAATGTCTACCTTCTTCTTAACCTTCTCCAACTTTTGCCCTTCTTCCCTCGATCTCGACCCTCCCGGTCGACCAACCTCCTCTCCTTTTAGCCGCGTCTGCCTCCTTGCTAGCTGCTTATTATTGCTCATCGTGGTCTGGTAGCAGCTCCTCGAGGTAAGCTGATCCCCAATGATATCACCAACGTTTTTGCCCACCGGATACTTGATCGTCATGTGGTACGTGGATACGATCGCCTGGAATGCATTCAATCTCGTTCTCCCCATTATGATGTTGTAAGATGATTCAGCTCCTACTACCACAAATCTTACCATCCTAACCTTCCGGGTCGCTCCTTTTCCCAGGGCTACAGATAAACTTACTTCCCCCATCGGCATAACCTCTCCACCATTAAAACCATACAAGGTCGTAGCCACCGGCTTCAACTCCACATTTAACTCCGGATTGATCTGTGCGAAGCAATCATAAAACATGACATCGACCGAGCTTCCTGTGTCTATAAACACCCTTTTTACATCGAAACTTGCGACTTCCACCGTGATCACCAAGGCATCATTATGGGGTATCACCACCCCTGGTGTATCCTCTGCTCGAAAACTAATTTCTGGTACTCGGGCCGTGATACCTACTTCCTCCCCTCTTCATCGCTCGAACATGCCCCTTCCTAGCATTATTTGAGTCTCCGTCTGTCGGTCCCCCTGAAATCATATATATATATATACATATATATATATATATATATCGTGCCTCTCTTCACCTGGCCTCCATCTCCTTGTCTTTCTCGCTCTCTACTTTCTCGCCTCTTCTTCCCTTCACCTCTCTTCCGACCATCTCGACCACCTCGTGGATCCTCCTCATCATCTTCATCACTCCTCTCCACCGATTCTTCCCGACATCTCCTCTTCTCCTTCCCCCTTACCTTATCCTGATAGACGAACTCCTTGAGATGCCCCGCCCGGATAAGGCGCTCTATTTCGTCCTTGAGATGTCGACAATCCTCGGTAGTATGGCCGTAATCTTTGTGAAAGCGGCAATATCTCCTCGACTTCGGCTGAGTTGGCCCTTCGAACCTCGACCTCGGCCATGTCACATCTTTTCCATCTATCCCCTTCTCCATGGCCATCAAGACCTCGGCTACCTTTGCATTCAACGGGGTATAATCATGAAATCTCTTTCCTCCAGAGATAGGCCGGTCCTTCCATCTGTCCTCGCGTCCTCGATCCTGCTTAGTTCGCCCTTCTCTCCTGGGCGAAGCTCTCCTCTTGGGCGAAACTGCCTTCTCCTTCTTCGACTCCCCGCGACCTAACTCCTCGAGTTTGGCAAACTCCGCCTCGGTCTCCTTGAGGTTAATGTATTTCCTGCACCTCCTCAACACCTCATCATAAGTATGAGCCGGGGTCTTGGCCAGAGAGGTCCGACATGGCCCCGCTTGTAAGCTTCTGATCAATCCCCCCGCCTTGACCTCATCGACCGACGGGATCTCCAAGCAAGCCTGGTTGTATCGGGCTACATATTTGCGCAGTGACTCCTTCTCGCCTTGTCTCATCGCCATCAAGGTCAAATAAGTCTTCTCCTGAGCCACTGCACTCGAATATTGATTCGTCAACTTCTCCGCGAAATCCTCGAAGTCCGCGATCGAGCCTGGGGGAAGCTGCTGGAACCAATCGAGGGCCCCTCCCCTGAGGGTCGGTAAGAATGCCCTACAACTAACGGGCTCAGTATATCCATGCAACACAACCATATTTTCGAACGTCCTCACATGCCTCGACGGGTCAGAAGTCCCATCGAACACTAAGTTGGTATCCTTGAAATTGGTTGGCAAGGGTGCTGCTAGTATGTCCGTCGAGAACGGGTGTCCTCGAGCACGCCTCTCCGTTCGACCATCCACCTTGGCCTGCAATTGACGCAGCTGTTCCGCCATTCTCTCTATTTCTCAATCATGTGGGAGCCCGCCTCCACCATAGCTAGATTCATCCTCCACTGCATTTTGGCGTGACCCCGCAACAGTGTTCGGCATCGCAGTAGCCCGAGAGAGACTATTTGTGACTTGCTGCACCGCCTGCGCAACTGCCTCCGCCACCATTTGTTGCATCTCCTGCCTGGTCATCACCACCTGCTGGTTGGGAACTTGCACTGTTGCCTGCGGTGGTGCTCCTCCTTGCTCCGCCGTTCCTCCTGGTTGCGCTACCGCTCCTCTTGGTTGCGCCACCGCTGGGTTTTGGGGCGGCGGTGGTGGCACCGCCGCCGCAGCCGCTGCGCGAATCTCCTGGGAACGATTGGAGCCGGCATCTCCTCCGGGAATCGCTGTCGTCGCTCCCACACCTTGGAGGACAGGTGTAGGAGTGATCGGCGTCTGCGATGGGCCAGAAAATCCCGGAGGAGGGCCTTGTCCAAACGGCCTGATCGTCGTCCAACCATCGTTGAACATCGACTGCAAGTTTTTGGGGATTCCGTCCGCCATAGCTGAGCTTCAAACACAACTTCTCAAACGAAAGTCCCACAGACGGCGCCAAATGGTAACACAAAACTTCCCGACCGGCTGAAACTTGAATAATCGCCTTCCTTCTCGCCGGTTGAACGTCGTGCACCTACAAAGAACTCTCACACCGGAGGGGTTTTTCGGTGAAGAGCCTCCGCAGCTTAAGTCATTGTATATTCAATCAATCTCTAGAGTAAGTAATAGAATGATCGTGTTGAAGAAGAGAGGCCCACACTCTTTATATAGGGGTGAAATACCTGACCTAGGGCTGCCTGGATTTGATGAGCTGTCTGCCCTAACTGGTCGTCCGTACACACCATACGCGTGTGTCAGAGGTAGCCGTCGCCACTATCGCCTGCAGCAATACCCTTTGGACGCGTGTCCTCCTGCACATGGGGTAGGCTGTCAGAGGTGGTTATTGCTATCAACCCCTGACTTCTCGACACGTGTCCCCCCGACACAGTTAGAGGCTCTCTCACGCGCCTGTGACTAGGCCGATCAGCGTGGTGTTAAGTCCTCGAAGTGGTCGACCTATCGAGGCTGACTGAACTGCTCGATCGTTCATCTGGTCGAAGAATATTTTGGTCGACAGCTTTGCTTGGTCGACTGGTTAACTGCTCGATTTCCTTGACTTCCTCATAATACGACTTCCTCGACCGGTCAATAGACTGGTTTAGCCTTGTGGGTATAATATCCTATATATATATAGTTGGGTTCACATGAGAATGGTTCTTAGTGCAAGAAATAAGAATAAATTGTAGTCATTAGATCATCCAATCTGATGGCTAAAAAAAATGCTTATTTTTCACATCATTAAGGATAAATTGATAATTACTGCATACATAAATAATTAATAACATGTGGGCCCCACCATAAATCAAATAACACACCAATCAATTCATCCCCTTATCTCCCACGTCTCTCTCTCCCCACTCTGTCTGTCACACACACACTCCAACACACACTCTCTCTCTCCTCATTCTCTCTCTCTCTCGCGGCACAGAAAAAAAAAACTATCACACAACACCATGTCGCCACTGCCGTTCACCCCAGCAACGGTTGCGCTGTCTCCGCCGATTCACATCCTGCCTGTCGGAGCATCCCGCCACCGCGGAGTCTCGCTCACAGGCCGCCGCCGGAGCATAGTCGCCCCCCGCCAGAGACCTCTGCCCAGAATATCTCCGACGGCCCTTCTAGCGCCATCCACGACCTCCATTTCACGCAGGTCCTCATCCCATCATTACAGCTTGTAAAAATAAAAAATAAAAAATACAGCAGCCTCGTAGGGTTCCTCACCGGCGAGAGAGTGAGCGACTGGGGCGGTGCAGTAGTGCGAAAGTCCGCCACCGGTGGCTGAATGGTTCAGGAGCTTATTTGTGGGCTAAGGACTAGTGTTTGAAAATTTGACAAGTTCCAAGGATTGATTCGCAAATTTTAAGAATTTTAGTTATTTACAATTAAACCATTGGGGTCAATGTGTGAATCCATAAAGATTTAACTTTATTCCAATTTAGTTCATGTTTAAATCTATAATTTATAAAAAATATATAAAAACATATTATTTTGTATGTATTTTTTAAACATATATATGTTATGTATTATAAATAAAAAATAATATAAAATTATTATATAAAAATATTAAAAGCTTCAATATATTTTTAAAATATAAATTTGTAATAAATTTGTAAATTCAAATGAGAGATTTAGAGTTTCATTGTCTTAAAAAAAAAAAAAAAAAAAAAAAAAAAAAAAAAAAAAAAATAGATATTGTTGAGGGACAATCTTATGATTTTATTAATTTTGAGTATTTCTTTAATTAAGTTCATGACCAAATATTTAATTTATAGAAATATACTCATAAATGCATATTAGGATAAATAAGGTGTACAACGTAAAAAAATTTTAATATCCCAAAATAATATAAAAAATATTAATAATAAATATAATTTTATAGTAATAAATAATAACTTATTTAAACTGTTAAGGTTAATTCAGTGTACAATTATATCTATTAAAGCTAGTTTTCAAAGCCACATAATTTATACATAATCATTTAACGTAGTGCACTTTATATATCTTTACGTTGCACAGTATGTAACAGGACGTTGCACTTTATAAAACAACACGTTGCACATTATCACCACGCTACACAATTAATGTCAACAATTCGCATGAAAAATATTACGCAATATAAATTTAGAAAAACGGATCTACATAATACTTTTAAATTCATCACATCAACTATACATAAAAAAAAACACAAACATGCTAACGTATTAAAATTTTAGTTATGCATTTTATATACTTATATGTTGCACTTTATATAACAATATGATGCAATTTATAACACAACATGTCGCACCGTATAAAACGACACGATGCACGTACTAAAAAAGTATATTTGCTATCGAATAATATTAGTTCATTAAATGTTGAATCTATTCTTGTTAAATAAATAAAATAACTGAACATCCCGAATTATATGAAAAAGTTATTATGAATTTTATTATTATTATTTTTTTATTTATATTTTTACGAAAAATAATACTATTTTTCATCTATATGTTTGAATGTATCAATACGAGATACCTATATAAAAAATATTAGTTTTTACATTTTTTTTAATAAATAAAAATGTTAGACAAGAATATTAATGTGCAATTTTCATAACATTAACGTGCAATTTAATTAACATTAAAGTGCAATTTACATAACATTGATGTGCAAGTAAAAGTAATTTTTTCTTTCAGATTAAAAATAATAAAATATTACATGTTAAAATACTAATTTTAATTAATTATAGATTTGAACTTTGAACTCAATTGTAATATACAAAAGTATATAAAATTGTTATTAAGTCCTTCTACCTTATCAAATTTTCAAATACAAGTACAACCTCACAATCACATCACCACGTCCACCTCCACTGCCGGCAACCAAAAACCTCCAGCAGACCGACGACCGTCGTCCACGGCCGCACCACCATCCACTGCCGCCCTCGAGGATGCCGCCATCACTGTCTCTCAGAATTTTGTCTGACCTAATCAAACTTTCCGGCGACGTCGAACACAACGGCGAGACGTCGCATAACCATCTCAGACGGCCAACAGGGCGATGTCGACGCAGCGACGGATATGGGGCGGCGGACGACAGGCCCGATTGTCCTTGAGAGCCACTGGCTCTCGTCCAGATCTGGTCGGAAAGATGAAGCGCGGTGGTTCTGAAAACGGCGGAGGTGTGGAGCATTTTCAGTGGTCGTGAGAGGAAAACGTCCGACTGTGGAAGGTCGTCGGAGAAGAAGAGTCGACTGACAGGGGGTTATTTCGTCGGCCGGCGGCGGGCAGCGGAGATGGCGACCTGCTGGGGGCTGGTTGCTGGGGAGGCGGAGAGACGAGGCTGGGGGCTGTGGGAGATGGCGGCGGCGCGGCGGAAGGTGGCGGGAAGCATCAGTTCTCGTCGGAACACTGTGTGTGTGTGTGTGTGTGTGTGTGTGTGCGCGCGCGCGAGTCTGCCGTGTGCGTGAGTTTATTGTGTGAAGGAGAAGAGGGTTGAGTTTGTGTGGGGTCCACAATGAGTTGTAATTTTTGTTATGACTAATATATCCTTAATTTGTGGTCAATTGCACATATTTGACCACGAAATTTCTAAAGTATTTATCATAATGCCATTACATGTTTGACTGGTATTATTAAAGTTTGACTTTATCATAACCATTAACACGATGGATCCAATGATCTAGATTTATTATTATTTCTTTCACTATCTACCATTCTCATATGATCCTAACTCTATATATATAAGAAAATTTATTGTATAGTCCAAATTTAAATTCCATAATTAAGTAACAACAACCAATCATTAAATAATAACAACCAGTCATTTCACATCATATCAACTTTAAATCACTATTCATTCACTTACACAATTTTAACTAATCATCATTTCATATCATTTTTTTCCTTCTTTTACATTAAATCAACTTTAATTATTTTATTTTAAATATTATTTTAATATACTCTCAAAATCAATAACAAATAACTATACTGTTTTTTTTTT